CCCTTCTCTTCAAAAGGACCTGTAGAAATTCTTCAAAAATTTGCATAGTATTAGATGCTGACATTCTCTATGTTCATTTGCACTTGCAGCCCAGAAGGCCAGCCGTATCTTTCTAGAAATGCATGACCAGAAGGTTGAGGAAGATGATTTTTACTCTGATGATTTTTACTTTTTACCCCCTTTACTCTGCTCTCATGACACCCCACCAGGTGTACCACACCCAGTTCTGGAGCCCCCAGCACAAGAAGGACATTGACTGTTGGAGCAGGTCCAGAGGGGGGCCATGAAGATGATCAGAGGGCTGGAGCACCTCTCCGATACAGACAGGCTGAGGGAGCTGGGGCTTTTCAGCAAGGAGAAGAGAAGGCTCTAGGGGAACCTTATAGTGGCCTTCCAGTACATGAAGGGGGCCTACAGAACTGGGGAGGGACTTTTTATAAGGGCACGTAGTGACAGGATGAGGGAAAATGGTTGTAAACTGGAAGGGGATAGATTTAGATTAGATATTAGGAAGAAATTCTTTACTGTGAAAGTGGTGAGACACTGGAACAGGTTGCACAGTGAGGTTGTGGATGCCCCCTGGAAACATTCAATGCCAGGCTGGATGGGGCTGTGAGCAACCTGGTCTAGAGGGAGGTGTCTCTGCCTATAGCAGGGGGTTGGAACTACATGACTTTAAGGGTCCCTTCCAACCCAAACCATTCTATGATTCTATGATTTATCTGATGGTCAGCTGCAAATACTCCTATAGGATATATTTGGACATGGGGGATAAACAGGGGGAAAGGAAAATATTTTTCTTTTCCCCATTGTGTATTGTGAAAAGCTTGTTCCTTTTGCCTGCTGAAGAAGTTTACCTGCTGTATTCCTCATGTTTTCTAAAAGTTCTTTTGGCACTTGTTCAGTATTGTCACAGTTTACCCAAGAGTATATATATTGTTTTCTCTTTAATGTATTTTTCAGTATGGAGATCTTTGGGATTGGAGGAATTAGTCTTGGGAGAGAGAACCAAAAGGAGGATCATACAGCACTTGTTTAGCATCTGCACATTAGATTAGACCCACAGTTCTGGTGTGTGGGAGTCTTGGCAGTTCTTGGGACTGAAGTTGTTCCCAGTCTGGTAGGCTGCAGACTGTCAAAGCCAAGAAGAAAAAAAAGGATTGAGTCTCATACCTCTGATAGTTCCTCTAAGGTGCACCATCCGCCCACAGATCCTGGAGCTACCCTGCAAGGGCTGAGTTATATAGTTATGCCTTGTTCAAGAGGCGAAGGACAAGCAGCTGAGTGGAGAACTAAACTTGAAGTCATAGTTCTCTATCACTGTTAAATTCATTTTTTACAAGATTAAAAATGAAACCACACCTTCTGTGTCTCCATTCCTTTATTTCCACTTCAAGACCAGATAATTTAATGTGAGCTGGAGCAGAAGGTTGCTGGACTCATACTCTATGTCATCTTGTTGCCTCCTTGGGTATTCAGAAAGTTTTGTGTTTTAGTCTCCGTTCTTGTAAAAAAAGCTGTTTCTTTTCTTGCAGCTTTGCACTATTGGGGGACTTTTTTTTTTTTAGTAGCTCCTGCCCAAGCATTTCAAAATCAAGCACAAGTAATCACAGCCTTTCTCTTCAGTCAAAACCATAACATTTTTTTGACAAGAGGTGCCTTTAAAGAAATGCCTCTTAATTTACGGTGGGCTGCTTTGTACTTTGTTTCTATAACCTATCACATTACATTTCCTGTGCGTTAAGTATGTATGTGTTATGAGCTCTTAAAAACAAATACCCCAGAAGAAAGGAATTCAGTAAATGAATAAAACATTCTTGGGTAGCCCAAGTGGAAGTTTAATAGCTTGTCTGTTGGGACTTTCAAATAATACAATAATGATGACCATGTAAATGTATGGATAGATGAATAACTTCAGTGAGGAGCTTGTAACAACACTGCATACTGCATCTGAAGGGAAATCAGACTCTGAAAATGCTGCCTGATGGGAAAATCCAATTCTTCCAGTGCCAACCCTGAAGTTATACCTAAAAATATACAAACTGTTTCTGCATACATGTGTACAGAACTGAAACACATTCACAAACACACACGCTCTGTGTACATACACATATACATAGGTCTGTTTGTATCATATGTTGTTTCTATGTGGAACTTACTGCTTCTGGATCTTGGTTATACTGAACCACTAAAACCTTACAGACTGCTGACATAAGTGGATTTACAGTTGTGCATTTGAGATTAGGTTTTGGCCCTGGCTTTCTCTAAAAAGAAATAGATAAATGCAATGAGCATAAGGTTGTCCCATTATATTGCCTGGAATAAACACAGCTTTCTCATAACGCGTAGCTTTGTAAATGTCTATTCTGGTGCCTGTCTGCCACTGCAGAGTCTGTATCTGAAGGTAGAGTTATTTGTGGCAGTTTTCTTTTGCTTGTGGTATTTTTCAGGAAAGATGATTTTGGATTACAGAGAATCTGGAAACCTGATGTTGATTGCTGTGAGAGGAAAAAAAGAAGCCAACTTGGGCTGAGCTGTGGTGTCGACAGAAGAACTATACCACCGAATGATATACAAATGGAATACTATACCTTTCTGTACCCCAAATTGACCTGTTTCTGAGAAACTGCTGAGTCGTAGTCAATTACACTCTGGGTGTATTCAGACAGGGAAGTGTCACTTGTGCTTCTATGGGGTTTTGCCTTGTTAGCTGGGAATGCAAGTTCAAGTGGTGATAGAATCTTAGATGTTTATTTTCTTGATGAAGAGTTCTTTACTTGTGGTTATTAAAATAGAAAATAAAAAGGAAACAAGGGCAGGGGGAGCTGCATGTGCAAATAAGTGTGTTGAAAGATGTGTGCCTTGACAAACATTTGGGAAAGCTATCAAACTGATTAATATGCTAAGAAATGGGATATAGACTGTGGGATCAGGAAGTTAAGTGTTTTGTGTGAACGTCTGAACATCAGTGCAATAAATTGATTGTCATTAGTACTTAAAAATGCAATAGTCATTCAGTTATATTGGAAGTGATAACTAACACAAATTCTTACTCCAAAACTTGCCTGCAATTTATTAATCTCCTAAGGGATGCAGAAATCATGTTGGAAGTTTAACTCCTGTCATTATTGACAACTTTTCCTATCCTTTTCCACTCTATATTCTAGCTTGGAGAAAACTGTATTTTCAAGCAGCTTTTAAATAACACTGAGAACCACGCATGTGTGCAGTGGGTCTTTTAATAATTGCCTTTTGCAATTGATTTCTGTGATTTTCATGAGTGACAGTACTTTGTAACAAGGGAGCTTATTCACACTGCTTCACTTTAAGCATCTGACAGGTCTCCTCAGGCTCCTTTCCCTTTCTTTCAGTGGAAAGCCATCAGCGGGAACCTCATTCAGATCTGCAGCAATCTCCGCCAGTCTCTGCTTCCCCTATCTCTGTATAGCCTGGAAATCATAGAATGATAGAATGGCCTGGGTTGAAAAGAACCACAGTGATCACCTAGTTTCAACCCCCCTGCTATGTGCAGGGTCACCAACCACCAGGCTGCCCAGAGCCACATCCAGCCTGGCCTTGAATGCCTTCAGGGATGGGGCATCCACAGCCTCCTTGGGCAGCCTGTTCTGGTGTGTCACCAGCCTCTGTGTAAAAAACAGATAACCCAAGTGAGGCACTGTGACTAATACGCAATTGGATTATATGTCCAAATCTTCCTCAAATATCTGCCTTTGACTGCAGTGCTATACTTTGGCTTATGATTCACCTTTTGAAAGCAGTGGAAGGGCTCTTGCTGCTTTGAAGTGGTGAAATTGGACCATGTGTGAATTAAGACAGGCTGTTGGCAATGAAACCACTTCTGATTTGTGGCAAAATTCTGCCTGGAGCTTACAGAGCTTACAGAGTGAAATGGGTGCAGGCAGGAATTCACTCTGAGCAAGGATGTCTTCAGGCTCAGTTCGCAGCAGGACAGACAGTAGATTGGAGAACCTTTTTCCTAGGTTGGGATGAGGCTGGAATAAATAACTAATGGAGCGTTTATGGAATGCATTCAGCATTCACCAGTTGAAAACTGTTCTGCCCTTTCTTCATTTTCTGCACATTACCACATGTACTGGGTGGATAGTAGTGATGGTAATTACAAATACCTTGTAGTACATAAGCAAGAGTGGACTTAAGTCTGGTGTGCTATCTGGCTGTGACATTTATTGACCTGAGTCTCTACCTGGAAACTTTGTTGAGCAGTTATATTTTCTTCACTGTGTTTTGTCTGTTCTCAATATCTGGGTATGCATGTGCATATATGTATTCAATTACATTTAAATAGCCACAGTTTTTCCTTAATTTTGATTTTTGTTAGTTTTGTAGGTGTCAGTAATGGTTGGCTCTTATTTTTATGTACTACTTTTTCTTGATTTCTCAGATCTCATTATGTGATGTTTAGCTGCCCATATAAAACCTGATAGCCTTGACTATCTCGGTGCTACATAGACAATGAGAATCCTGTTCCTTCCAAAGTTTGGGGCTAAAAAGAAGTCTATCAATGTGCTATAAAAGCAATCAAGTTTAGATTTAATTGAAACTATTGGTAAATATAAACAATAATTTCAGAATGTGATTCATCATCTTATATGAACTTATTCAAATGTGTGTCTGATTTTATTCTTTTTCCACTGTGGCTTTTATATTGTCTACATCTACATACAGATGTGGTTGGATTACATAGAGATTTTTTATCTTAAAAAAGTGTGTACATATACATATACATATACATATACATATACATATACATATATGTATATGTATATGTATATGTATATGTATGTGTGCATGCATATACATGCATATATACAGACAAAAAATATAATGAAAAATTGTTGCTTTTGTGTGCGTATAGTGTTCTCCCTTTCTGTTTTGTTAAATTTGTGGTAACTAGTTCTTTTTTCAGTACAGTGTTTACCTCTCAGTCACTCACCTTCCTTTTTCTCTCTCTGTTACAGTGTGAAAGGATGATGTGATGGAGATGAACATGGGCCACTGGTCAGGCACACGGCCCCCTCCACCTTGCCTTGCCCTTCTGCTTGCCAAGCTCCTGGCCTCTCTCTTCCAGGTAGCACATGGAGCCACCCCGCTTGGCTTTCACTTCACACATTCCACTTACAATGCAACTGTGTATGAGAATTCGGCAGCCAGGACCTACGTCAACAGTCAAACGAGAATGGGCATTACCCTGTCCGACCTTTCTTGGGATATCAAGTACAGGATAGTGTCTGGTGATGATGAGGGTTTTTTTAAAGCAGAGGAAGTTGTCATTGCTGACTTTTGCTTCCTGAGAATAAGGACTAAAGGTGGAAATTCTGCTATATTAAACAGAGAAATCCAGGACAACTATTTATTGCTAGTGAAAGGATCTGTCAGAGGGGAGGACTTGGAAGCATGGACAAAAGTGAACATCCAGGTTTTGGATATGAATGACTTAAGACCTTTGTTTTCACCAACCACGTACTCTGTCACAATAGCAGAAAGCACTCCATTGAGGACTAGCATTGCACAGGTGACTGCAACAGATGCGGATATTGGGTCCAATGGTGAATTTTATTATTATTTCAAAAGCAAAGTTGATCTCTTCTCGGTACATCCTACGAGTGGTGTTATCTCCTTAAGTGGCCGGTTAAACTATGATGAAAAAAACAGGTACGATCTTGAGATTTTGGCTGTAGACCGTGGGATGAAGCTTTATGGAAATAACGGTGTAAGCAGTACAGCTAAGCTTTATGTTCACATTGAACGTATAAATGAACATGCTCCAACAATAAGTATAGTAACGCATATTCCCTTCCCATCAGACAAGGAGCCTACCTATGCAGTCATTAACATTGATGATCTAGATGAAGGAGCCAATGGAGAAATTGAATCTGTTTCAATTGTGGCTGGAGATCCGCTAGAGCAGTTCTTTCTGATTAAAGAAGGCAAATGGATGAATGAGTACAAAATCAAAGAAAGAAAGCCTATTGACTGGGACAGCTTCCCCTATGGTTACAATCTGACTCTCCAAGCAAAAGACAAAGGATCTCCTCAGAAATTTTCTGCAGTCAAACTGGTCCACATTGCTAGTCCCAAGAAAGAAAGTATCCCCTTGAAGTTTGAAAAGGAAGCATATGATGTTTCAATCAGTGAATTTTCACCTCCAGGTGTGGTGGTTGCAGTCGTTAAGCTGATGCCTGAGCCCCTGGGTGTGGAATACAGAATATCTCCTAGTGAGGGTGCTGAGAATTTTAAGATCAATCCCATCACAGGCCTCATTACTACTGCTCGTTCTTTAAAAATCATTGAGAAGGACCTCTATGAGTTAGAAGTGTATACCAACAAAGGGGATGATTTAAAAGCACAGGTTACCATCAGGCTAGAAGATGCCAATGATCACACACCGGAATTCCAGCAGCCTTCGTACAGCTCATTCGTCAATGAAAGTGTCCCCGTGGGGTTTAGCGTTTTGGCAGTTTCAGCAGTCGATAAAGACAGGGGAGAAAATGGATACATAACATACAGCATTGCCAGTCTGAACTCACTGCCATTTATTATAAATCAGTTTACAGGTGTCATCAGCACATCTGAAGAACTGGATTTTGAGTCCTCACCAGAAAGCTACAGGTTCATTGTGAGGGCTTCCGACTGGGGTTCTCCCTACCGGCATGAAAGCGAGGTGAATGTTACCATATACATAGGCAATGTCAATGATAACAAACCCCTCTTTGAAAAAGTGGCGTGCCAGGGAGTGATTTCATCTGACTTCCCTGTCGGTGGTCACATTACTGCTGTTTCTGCTATAGACATAGATGAGTTAGAGCTTGTAAAGTACAAAATAATCTCTGGAAATGAGCTTGGCATTTTTTATTTAAATCCTGATTCTGGTGTCCTGCAACTTAAAAAATCGCTTATTAGTTCTGGCATAAAGAACAGCAACTTTGGCCTTAAGATAACAGCCACTGATGGAGAGAACTTTGCTGATGCAATGTTTGTTAATATTTCAGTAGTTCACGGGAAAGTATCATCAAAGACATTTAGCTGTAGAGAGACAAGAGTTGCACAAAGGCTAGCAGAAAAATTGCTCAAAAAGGCAAAAGCAAACGTGAAGTTGAATTTAGAAGACGGTTTTCTCGATTATTATTCGGTGAACAGGCAGGCACCACATTTTGACAAAACCTTCCCAACTGATGTGATGGTTTCAGAGGATCTGCCAGTTGGTGCCACTATCCTGAGGATAAAAGCCTATGATGCAGACTCAGGCTTTAATGGAAGGGTAGTTTATACAATTTCTGATGGTAATGCAGATAGTTGTTTCAACATTGACATAGAGACAGGGGTACTAAAAGTTCTTATGCCGCTGGACCGTGAAAAAACAGATCTCTATATCCTTAACATTACAGTTTATGATTTAGGTAACCCACAGAAATCAGCGTGGAGGCTGTTGACTGTCACTGTAGGGGATGCAAATGATAACAAGCCTATTTTTTTACAGGACAGTTACTCAGTTAACATTTTAGAAAGTACAAGTATTAGTACAGAAATTATACAAGTAGAAGCCAGAGACAAAGACCTTGGGTCCAACGGGGAAGTGACTTACTCAGTTCTGACGGACACCCAGCAGTTTGCCATCAACAGTTCTACGGGAGTGGTGTATGTGGCTGATCAACTAGATCGGGAAACAAAAGCAAACTACACCCTAAAAATTGAGGCTAGGGATAAAGCAGAGAGCGGCCATCAGCAGTTTTCTGTTGTGCCTCTGAAGGTGTTTTTAGATGACGTGAATGATTGTTCTCCAGCCTTCATCCCATCCAGTTACAATGTGAAGGTGCTTGAGGACCTGCCAGTTGGCACTGTCATAGCTTGGTTGGAAACCCACGATCCAGATCTCGGCTTGGGAGGTCAGGTCCGATACTCACTGGTGAATGATTACAATGGGCGTTTTGAGATAGACAAAGCCAGTGGAGCTATCCGCTTGAGCAAAGAGCTGGATTATGAAAAGCAGCAGTTCTACAACCTGACTGTGCGCGCCAAGGACAAGGGACGCCCAGTTTCTCTCTCTTCAGTTTCTTTCGTGGAAGTGGAAGTGGTGGATGTTAATGAAAATCTCTATGCTCCCTATTTTCCTGACTTTGCTGTCACTGGATCTGTAAAGGAAAACTCCCGCATTGGTACAAGTGTTTTGCAAGTTGTTGCTCGAGATGAGGACTCTGGAAGGGATGGGGAGATCCAGTATTCCATCAGGGATGGCAGTGGACTGGGGAGATTCAGCATAGATGAAGAGACTGGTAAGTTTTGTTTCTAATATCATTTTCCCTTTATAGAGATTTTTGCAAAAGGAAAGCTTAGGCATTATTATTTTCTACTCAGAACAAGAAATTCATGTCTTCTTAATAGGAAAGATAAAGTTATAAATAAGAATATTCCAGGCACAGCAATGACATGATTTAATTATCTGCTTACATTCATCATTCTGCGGGTGTGAAATAATGTACATTGCTTTTCAGTAGCTGTGTAATGACTCCATTTAAAAAACAGTGATAGTTCCATAAGGTCTTTTTTGCAACACGGTATTACCTGTTGATCATTCTAAGGTGCTCAGGTCACCTCAACAGAGTCACAACACTCATGACCTTGAATGTAGTGTTAAATCCAGTGGAAGGAAGGAAGAGGCAAGAAATAAGACTGGCTTCATTGACTTGTTTTTGGTGAGGGTAATTTTTTATGGGACTCAGTAGACTGGAATGAGATGCCATTCTGCATCATGTACTGTACTGTAGCACATGGTCCTCGTCAGTGTAGGCATGCTTGTGTAAAGGCAGAAATACAGGGTAAAATATGCTCAGCCTGTGGTAGCTTTTCCTTGGTGTCAGTATCATTGACAGAGCGAAGATTTTTAAGAAGATTTTAAGATTTAAAAGACCACCCAATAAAACATAGCTAACAAGCTGGCTGTTTAAATGTTTGATAGCTGTTGAGAGCAACGGTGCAGCTGTGATACTAGAAGAAGTAATATTAGAAAATTTTAGCCAACAGTTTCAAAAATTATATTAGATATGTTGAGTCTGTGGGCTTACTGTGGTTTAAGCAGACTTTGTATGTCTTATTTTGCTGAAGCTTTTACTTGTGAATGTTGTATTAAAGCATAAGATTAACATGTATGTTTTGACAAATTCAAACTGTTTAATCGAATGACAACTTTCTAAACTGAACGTTATGAAAAACAGATGACATTACAAATGCAAATGGATCTTGTCTGAACATAAGCAGTGAAAAATATTTTTATTCTATTTGTGCTGTAACCTCTGAGCTGCAACTGTGCACAGATGATAGTCAAAGAAACATTAAAGTTGAATGTCGGAAGTCAGAGGACACCTCGTCTAATTACCAGAAATTTTAAGAACTCACATATGCGACGGTGTTAACAGAAGTTGAACATGCGTGGGTGATGCTATTTAGGCAGTTGAACATGAATTTTAGTCTTAAGCCCCTTTGTTTGAAAATGTTTGAGTAGCATGAAGCTCAGCAATAAGATATTGATCTGAATGCTCTAGCTTTGTTCTATCTTGTTGAATCCCAGGGTTCAACATTTGTTGAACTGAAAGGGATTGTTAGAAAATAGGCTTCCAGGAGGATAAGTTAGCATGTATTCTTTGTTAATAAATTAACCCGAGTTAATTTATTAGCAAGGCAATACCCAGAACTGAGTTAGGGCCCTTGTTCACTAAGACATGAATTACGTGTTGAGATGACAGAAACAGGATTAGTTTATTCCTAGAATTGAAATCATAGAATCATAGGTTGGAAAAGACCTCTAAGGTCATTCAGTGCAACCTCCACCTGTCACCAATATTTCCCACTAAACCACATCCCCCAGTACAACATCTAAACGTTTCTTGAACATCTCCAGTGTCAGTGACTCCATCACTTCCCTGGGCAGCCCATTCTAGTGCCTGACCACTGTTTCTGAGAAGAAATTTTTCCTAATGTCCAACCTGAATCTCCCACAGCACAACTTGACGCAATTCACTAAAATCCTATCACTAGTTACCTGACCCCACCTCAGTATAACCTCCCTTCAGTTAGAAATCTGGTTTGTGAAAATAAAAAGCAAAAAACAAACAACAACAACAGAAATGCAAAAAAAAAAAAAAAAAAAAAAAAAAAAAAATCTCAACAAAAAATACCTTTATAAGTTGGAAATCCTTGTCTTTCCTGAGTATTTTCATGAAAAAGAGCCAACCCCATCAGCCATTCCAGAAGGTATTCCATACCACAATAGTTCACAGTTCTCTTTTGGATCCTTTTTGTATCTGTTTTTCCCCAGTTGTTCAGTGTTCAGTAAGCCATCTTGAAAGCAACTCAAAGAGCACTTGTATGCATGACTGCAGCTTGGGTGCGTGGGAGCAAGTTTGGGGGATTCAGGAGCTACTCCAAGTCACGCTTTTGTAACTTGAGTGCAGAATTCAACCTTCTGTGTCAAACAGGACAAAACATTAACACTCTGCTCTTAAACTGGTGGCAACTTAAATGCTGCTGAGTGATGAATCAGCTTCCTAGATGTAGAAAAGAGCTCAAGTCACATATTGAATTAATTTGCAAAGAGATAGCTGTTTATTTACTTTCAGTGCAGTTAATTTGTCACTTTAAAACTGACCAACTCAATTGGCTTATGCACCGGCCTCTTGAAATTCGTGAAGGTAAGCAGGAGCGTGAAGTACAACAAATCAATATTTTTGGCTAATGCCTTAATGAAAAGAAGACTGCAGTATCCATTATAATCATTAGGATATAAACTGGGCCAAATTCATCCTGAAATGTGCAGGCTGGACTCCAAGCAAGTCTGTGCTTTCAGCAGAATTCTGCTCGAATGCATTATTTTTATTCTTCTGCAATATTCCAGTGTAGTGGTGTTAGCTGTGCCTGTATTCCCTGGGGTGTGCTGGTACCCAGAGAGGCTGTGGAGGAGCCTGAAGACGAATGAGTTTTAATGTATGGTGGATCCTCACCAAGCCATGCTGCCATGTGCTTTTTGGCAGGATGGATTTGTTCTTGATCCTCTCTAGATGGATACAGTACATATGGGTGCATTTAACTCCAGCTGAGTTTGACCTGGATGCTGGGGCAGTTATTTCTATTGGCAGTTCTACTTTCAGGTCTGAGCCTGTGGTTCATGGTGAGCAGGCTTGGGATTAGCCCACATAGAACCATAGAACCACAGAATCATCAAGGCTGGAAAAGACTTCCAAGATCATCAAGTCCAACCGTCCATAGGCCAATATGGGTCATTCTGCAAAGGATACATGTGCAAATTCTGATATTGTTGCTGTTTTGTAGGATATGGGCCACTGTGATGCTTGCCTTCACTCACTATGGTTCTTCATCTTGTGTTGTGGAGAACCAGATTTGAGGATTGTTGCTGTTGCATTATAGCATTTGCTGTTAAATACTTCAGTTCATAAGCAAAATTTTACATGTATTTGGTCTCACAACCTCATGAGTAACTTCCCACTTTGTTTCTCTGGATTTATTCTAATTTCCCTTACCAGGGGGTGAAGCCATTACAAATCTCTATATCAACAGAAACTCTCCATCTGTAGAAGGCAGCAATTCCTGACCTCCTCCAACTCTAACCTCAGTTTCCCACTCGTCCCTTAGCCAGCAGTGGGTGATGATGATTGCTGGATTTACAAAACAGCTCATGAGTCACAGCAAAAAAAGAGGGAAAAAAAGAAAGGAATTCAGTTTGTTGCCAGCCTAGGTGTACAGTTCAAACTCATTGATTTTCTGTCTTCATCTGCCTATTCATCGGCTTTTGGATAAATGTCACAAGCTTGCCATTGAAAATACCTATACAGAGAGGTGTGCAATGTGATCTCGCCACTTTTGGATTCTCTTTTTCCTTCTGTGTTCCTTTCAGGATCATTTTTCTTTACATCTCTTTTTTCTTGGACTTGAGATGTAATGTACATAATGAAATGTGATCATCTGCAGACAGAGCTAGGCTTTCCTTATGGGCAACAGAGAAAAACAGTTGACTGAGAAATGTAATTTACTACATTCAAAGTAAAAATATGAAATAAATTTGTTGAGTCATGCTCTAAGAATTCTCTGGACAGGAGCATCCCACCCTCTTTTTCCATCTATAGAAAGGGAACAAAATCTCCTTCTTTGTTCTTACTGTCAAATGTGGGTGAATATCATAAAATCATAGAATCACCAAGGTTGGAAAAGACCTCTAGGATCATCCAGTCTAACCATCCACCTATCACTGATATTTCCCACTAAGCCGTGTCTCTCAGTACAACTTTTTCCATATGTATCTCATGGCCATGGAGGACCTTGAGGCTTTTCTTCATCCCTGATACCACTCCTCACTGGGTGTATTTCTCCACACTACCCACCAGCCTCGTAATTTTGGTTCCTTAGAAAAGAATTGTGTAAAAATCCTCATATTTCCAGAGTGCTGTAACATGAAATGACCAGAGATCATATAATTATAGAATTGTTGAAGTTAAAAGAGACCTTTAAAGGTCATCTGATCCAATCCCCCTGCAAGGAACAGGGACACCTACAGCTCAGTCCAGTGCTTGGAACCCCACCAGCCTGACCTTGAGTGTCTCCAGGGACAGATATTTACCACCTCTCTGCTAGTGCTTTACTCTCCTTATTGTAAAAAATAATAATAAAAAAATCCTTATATTCATTCTAAATTATTTGTTAATAGATCTGTTAAAGGTTTTTTGGGATGGCAGCATGTTCTGAGATTTCATTCTAATGATGGCTCTGATGGATACAATTTGATGTTCAGAAGTGATCTCTGTCAGAAATCCTCTATTGCCATCTTAAATTGCTGGATTTTCTCCACTCTCATACATATATATTTGCAGTGCTAATGCCATAGCAAAGTGGTACGTTTTTGCTGTCTCGGGAGCTCGTGGGGACTCTAGCAAATATGAATGGGCATTTGATGCCACTTGCCTTGGTGGAAGCCAACAGCATTTCTGTCCTAGCTGAGCAGGGACTTTGACAACTATCGAGATTGCCTGACTTTTCAAGAAGTTGAGTTAGATGAGATCACTTTTAGCCTAAATGATGACATCCTCCTCATTTTTTCATCATTTGTGGTGCAGCTAAACAGCATTTTGTACTCCAGCTCCACTTTTTAGTCTGGCATGTGTTCCTGCTCTTTGCACAGTTGATGTACCAGCCTTGTATTAGAAGAGTTTCTGTATTTACCCCTACTTTACTTGTGGTTGTACTAGCAATAGAAAGGGAATGAGCTGAGTTCTAGAGGAGCAGAGAGATGAGGCACACTCAGCATTTTCTGCTGCTGAGCCTTCGGTATGGCATTACAGCACCATAGGATTCAGGTAATGACTAACCCCATTGATGGACAGTTAAACTGAAGCCACCATCTTCTGCTGCCAATCAGGAAAGCACTGTAACATCTCAAATTGTACTGAAATTTAACATGTAGGGAAAAAAATAATGGTGTTAAAGAAATACTTCTGGGATATTTAATTGTATTGCAAAGCCAAGCCCATAACCATGGATTTAAACAACACTTTCAAAACTTCATAGTGCTATTTTCTGAGATTATCCAGCAGGTTGAGTCCCCTGATTTTTATTGGGACTTGAAATTTTGGCATTAGATGGCAGTCATATCCACGCTTGCACAGCCCCCATTAATAAGAAGGCAAGCTGGAGGATGACCCCGATAACTTGCTATCCTTAGGTGTTTTCAGCCCTGACAATTCCAAATGAGTAAGCCAAGTCTGTCTTTCACAGCATAGAAATCTTAAAGATAATGTTAAATGGAAGTGGATTTGAAATTATTATAAATTCCATGGATTTACATTGCCAAGTGTAGCAGTCTGATGTATTTTGAGACCTCTTAAGGTGCCTCAGGAGTGATTGAAATTCCTGACAAACTGTTTCTGGAGTCCAAAAAGAAGCCAGTTAGTGTTGGAAAACCCTAATCATGGCTTCAAACGAGTAATAATGGAAACAAGAAATGCTAGACTATATAGTTTACAATAAAACAGACCTGCCGGCTCTGTTACATCTGTCTGGCAGAAGGGGATAAATGTATTTCTTCAGACTCCTTGCATATTATTCTGTCTTCTAAAACAGTTTTCAGTTATTGTGTGTGCAAGTTAAAGGATACTTCCATTTATTACAATCTGAGTGGTCTGATAAATATTTATGTGGGACCGTTACCAGTGTTTCCTTGAAACAGAATCAAGTAAAAATGAAAATGGTTTGTGATACGCGCTTCCTTTTTTCCTGACTTGTTTAGCAAAGCATGTAAGAGCCGGTGACTAAATCTGTGAAGACTCACTCATAGACTTGAACTCAACGTGGAGTATTGAGGTATCAGTGTTACAGACGTTGTTCATTTTCCTGGTGAGTGTAGGCAAAATTAACTGCTGAGAGCAAGCATTTCTGAGCCACTTAATTAGCAGAGGCTTCTAAAAGCAGTTTTAAGAGTAACTTTAGGTTAAGAGAAGAACCAGTGGGTGCTGCTGTGTGCTGGCTCAGGAAGGGAGGGTGCGGATGCTTGCAAGATTCGTTGCAGCTGTCCCCTAGGGCTGGCGCTGGTTGGGGCTGAGCCAGCTCTCCTTCATAGTTCTCTATGGGAAGGAGAATGCTGGTTGCAACTCTAGCCAAAAGTTGATCTGTCGGCCTCTGTCTGTGTCAGGCATGAGTAAAGCATTCCTAGCAGCAGCTATTTTGGAGTCTGCTGTAATGTGTTACTGTTACTCTCTGAGTTATCTCTGGCAACTTTTAATAGGGCAATCTTCCCATCATTTATGATATCCAACTTTAGGAAAGTAATTGTT